GACCGTACACCTGACAGCCTGGAGCTCAGAGCATCAGAGTCGGAACCCTGGCCCTCTACTCTGCCACGAACACTTAGGCCAAGTCCCATTTTACAGATGATAACACTGAGGCCCGAGACCCACTCCATTTCCTCCAGACAGACACACACACACACACAGGCCAGAGAATCACAAAGGAATGTTGTTCCAGTCTCTTTGGCTCAACTCGTTAGAAGATGAGGCATAGCTTTTCTCGGCCAGAGAAAAGGAATTACAACTTTGTCTCTCTCTCTCTCTCTTTTTTTTCCCAAGGAGTTGTGACTTTTTAATAGAAGTTGGTTCGTGCACAGACATTTTATTCTGCAATTAATTTCCATCAAAATGAGGTTTTCCCGGAGATAACCAGTGTTTTAGTTCCATTTCAGCTTAATTTGTATGACTGAAGACTCCGTTTCTGCCAATTCCAATTTGCTGGGTGATTCTAGCACTCATTACCTGGGCGATAATGCCCCTTGCTGTAGACAGCTGCACCCAGAGTTAGGAGATGGACCGATTTCCAGTAGCAATTCAGGGAAAGAGGGGGTCCCTCTCCTCTCCTGATACCACCCAATAAATAGGGAATAAATTATTAAATAAGCCATGTTCTGATGAGGGGGCCCCCATCATGGTATTTACAATGCAAAACAACCCTCCCCAAGAAAAACCCTCAATAAATTAAAAAAAAAAAAAAGCCCAAAACAACAGCCACCGAGGGGAGATGCCAAGTCTGTATCACAGGCTCACTGGTGCAGAAGTGAGGAAGAGGTTGCAGTTGACGCTGGAGGCAGCCTGAGCTCCTAGGCTCCCGCGGCTGGCTAACGGAGGGGGCAGCATTTTGAGGAATCCTGGTTTGTTTTTTCATCAAACTTTTCTATTGAGCTGGGGAGCAAAGCAAGGCAAGACACACACTTGTGAGACTATTCTGACTATTTGTGGAAAAGAATACAGCAGAGGAGATGATGGGAGTGGGACTTGCAAAAAAGTGCTTGGGAACCTTTGGGAGCACCCAAACGTTGGCCCTCTTCAGGCAAAGCCTTTGGGAAAGAGGACGGTTCTGAGCTAATGGATGATGGGGGGCTCTCTGAGACCCAGACCCTTGTGTCTTTCAAACATCTTAATTTCCTTTGGCTCCTGGAAGATCGCCTTTCCTTCAAGGAAGGGAAGAAACAGATAGGAATGCAGTCGAACCTCAATGAACTAGAATGTTCCTGGATGGGGCTTTGAGGGAGTTAGCCTTTCTTAATTTAACTGAAGGGAATTCACATATTAAGTTTTGCTCTATTGACTGAGAACCTTCTAAAAATATTTGAGACTGTTTTCCTTTTTCTTCTCAATCCTGGTGAACTCACTCTGTCTTTGGACAATTTCCCAGGCCTCAGGTCACCATTCTGGATTATATCTCAAAAACTCCCCCACTTCTCAAAGAAGGTATTTTTTGGCCTGCAAAAATGGAGTGATCTCTCCAGGTTCATTCATCCAGGAAGGCTGCATGTTTGCTGGGCCTCAAGCCATACCCCCCCAATGCTGGCTTTTAAAATAGGTGCACACCACACACAGGTTTCGGGTGATTTGTCTTAATCCCTGGAAGCAGAAGGTAATGTGGGCGAAGTAGGCAGAGGAACACTGATGCCAGGAACTGGGGGCTCTGCTTAAGCACGGTGTTAAGCACGGTTACCAGGACCCCAACAAGCATTCTATTTTTGGATGCGTAAGAAGGGAAATGTAAGGGAAATTCGAGAAGCAAATCGGCAAGAGGGAGAGACAGATATCCCTCCCTCACCCCCCACCCCTGGAGGCATTTAAGCAGCCTTCTTGCAAACTTTCCTCTGGCTGGGGGTTAGAGCTGGGTAAAGTCACATTGCCAGGGAAACAACCAGGGATGTTGCAGAAGTCTCACCAAACTCAAAGCTGGACCAGAGGGGCTGGTGATTTCAATGCAGTCAATGGGGACTTTGGAAAGGGTGGGGCCCTCTCTGGGAAGCAGGGAGACCCTGCTCTTAGAGAGGCAGGACTGCTAAAGACCTCTAGATCCTGGCTCCACGGGCCCCGAAATGACCTTCTTGGGGGAAACTTCTGGCTTCTCCTTTCATCTTTTTTTTTTTTTTTTCCCTTTCCTGAATTTCTGCAATAGCTTTGTGCTCTCCTCTGATGGCAAGCACGAGATCACTGTAAAAGCCTTCTGCTTTGCTTAGCATGGTGGACACTGCCTGGAAAAACCTCAGGGGATGGGGAGAAATGAGCTGCCCCTCAGGCCTGAAACAGGTGTCATTTACGCAAAACCAACCAGGTATGCTCAGAAAAGGGAGGGAGGGGTCCTGCCCGCTACTGAAGGCCCCGGAGGAAGGATCCGACCAGGTGCATCTTCTCCCCCCCCACCCCCACTCCGCTCAATTCTTGCCCTACTCTCTCCTTGTCAACTCCAAGTTCGCTCCAGGTGCTAAACCAGCCATCACTTCAACCCACCCAAACCCAAGGCGGCTACTTCAGTAAGTACTGACAAAGCCTCCTCAGTTGGCCAGAGACCCTACAGCTGTCTCCCAGCAGGTGCCTCTCTGAGGCCCTCACACCGAGATCTCTGACTGTTCAAGTTTTGCCTTAGTTAGGTTAGGCTAACTTTAGATGCCAGCCCCCATGTGAGCTGTGACTCGAATGAATCATTTCAGGGCTTTGGCTCACAAGCCTCGTGGCTGTTTTTCATCTTTCTGACCCCTCAGCGAGGCTGCTGGTGGGCAGGCAGCTGGGGCACAAGCTGAACCTCACTGACAGAATGACGACCTTGGGTCTGAAGGGCTCCCCCCGGCCCCCATGCCAACTCCAGGATGTCTGGACTTAGAGCTCTGTGGGTCTCCCCTGCAGGGACAAAGCCAACGTCCCTGCTCAACACCTGACCTCTCAGAGTCCATCCACAAGACACGAGGGAGAAAAGAGAGATGCACAGAAATAATTTAGAACCCCCCCCCACCCTGACACACACACACACACACACACACCTCGCCATATAAATAAATAAATAGTGGAATACTGCTTATGGCAACTGAGAGAGAGAGAGAGAGAAAGTCATCACATAAATAAATAAATAAACATAAATAAATAAAATAAATAATAGGTTTGCTAGGAGCCCCAGGTAGAATGGTCCCCTAGAGTCGTCTGAGGCAGTCTGACCGGAGGCTCTCGGGCCTCTCCCACTGCTGTCCTGCTAATGAGGTTCCGTGGCTCCGTGATGGGAGAGTGGAGCCCAGTTTGCGTTCCTGGGCAGGGAAGAGGGTTATTTACAGTTACTGTACATGCCCTCCCAGGGCACCTGCCCCTGTCCCAAGCACCTGCCATCCGGCCTTCTGTGATGACAGCATTGGCATCCATCAGTCTGGGTGGGTGGGGCCCAGGGCTGGGCCAGAGGGCATCATGGGAAGGCCGGGTCATCCAGGGCTGTCTGGGGCACATTGCTCTGCTCTCCTGGTGGAGGAAGGCCTGGTGGGCCGTTGCACAGGCTGATGTGATGGGAGAGATTGGGGGGTGGGGGAGATGGGTCACTGCTTTCAAGAAAAAGGATTTTTGTTGTTGTTGTTCAAATGTTTTCCTTGGGGTGTGAAGGGTAAGTCCCTGCTACCTCACAGCTGGGCCCAGTATCCAAAGCCCGGAACTGTCCCCCCGCACTATCTCCCTCTGTGCCCTGTCCCGCTGCTGTTGCCACCGCAAACTTGAAACTCACCCACAAGGCTCCGGAAAGCCAGTCAGCTGGTGAGGGGGATGCCCAGGAGTTTATTTTAAGGATCCTCTCCCGTACACCCCTGTTCTCAGTGCCTGCTGTGGATGAAGCAACTGGTGGTATTTGTGGGGTGGAGATCAGCTTACCCATGCCGGCCAGCCCCGGGTAAGGGGAAGACAGGGTGAGGGCAGGAATGAAGGCGGGGCTGAGCTCTCAGAGAAGTCTCAGAAACGGGCAGAATCCCAGGATACCGAGGATCCAAGCCCCTGTCCCCTTATACTCTGGATTTGGGTCTTTTCCCCCAAAACCTGAGCTCCTGTGCCCCATCCTGGCAAAATTCCTGAGAGGCAAAGGGGGTAGCCGGGGCTGAGGGTGGGTGGGCTCCAGGCTGGGGCAGTCCGGGTGGTGGGGGAGGGGGCAGGCAGGCACCAACGGGAGGGTAAGGCCAGACTGGCCGGCGCTGGGGGCTGGCAGCTGGCCATGGCACTGGGGGCTGTTCAGCAGATGGTCTCGTGGAACGAAGCTGGTGCCAGCTAGCGAGGGCTGAGGCAAATCTGGGCTGTGGGGCTGCAGATCAAGCTGTCCTAACTGTCCACTGTGTCCTTTCTCAGGGAGGTTCAGGGGCCCTGTGAAGAGCCAAGAGGCTGGCAAAGCCACATGGGGGGCCCTCTCCAGTGCTAGAACCTAATGGACTGCTTTTCCTGACCACACTAACATAATGGGGGGGGGCAGCAGAATGACTCTTGCCCTTTTGCATCTAGACTCACAATCAGAGAACCAGTGTTTCCTGTCTCCTGACCCTTCCTCCCTATTGAAACATCCACAATCCCTACTCAGATAGCCCCCTCCTCTCCCGCCATCCCCACAGCCTTCTAGCCTTTGCTCCAGCCTGTCTGGGAGGTGAAAGGCCTGACAGCCTTCGGTTTCCTCTCCTCTCCTCCCACCCCATGAGGGTCCACACACGCACATCAAGAGGCTGAATGAGGGGAAAATGAGGGCAGGTGTGATGCTAGCTTTCCATAGCGGCCTGTGAGCAGTGGGTGCGCAGAACTCTTTTCCTGGCCAGGGCCACACACTGGAGTCACAGGCCCGTTGCTTCTTACAAAACCTTGAGGGTTTTGGTGCCAACAGAGGGTGGTTCTCTCTGTACGCCCAGGCCCGAACTGAGCCCCAGGGTGGTGCTGGCGGCAGCTCCTAGCAGCTTGACATAGAGGCTGAAGGCCCCGTACCCTCTTTTCTTCCTCCCCAGGAGAGCAGGAAGAACAGGGTCCAGGAGCCCTCAAGGTCCATCACCGAGGAGAAGGCAGGGTGGGCAGGGAGGGGGACAGGCTGGCAGAGTGCAGGGGGCCCTCCTGCCGGCAGCCGACTCAGGGGAGGGCTCTTGCTTAGCGCCTCGTGCTGGAGTAGCTTTCCGCTGAGCTGTAGCTGCGGCTCCGGCTCCGGGAGCCCAGGCTGGGGCTGCGGGAGCTGGAGCTGCTGCTTGTGCGGGTCCGGCTGCGACTGCGGCTGCGGGTCCGGCTGTGGCTGCGGCTCCGGCTCCGGGAGTAGCTGCGGCTGGCCGAGCGGCTGCTGCTGCTGCTGTACCAGGAGGAGGTGCTGCCGAGGCTGCTGGACGAAGAGGGGCTGGGCCGGTAGTAGGGGATGGGGCGCTTCCGGGCACTGCGGAGAGCAGACAGGGGGCGCTGGAGGACCAGACTCCGCCCAGCCTCAGGCCAGAGAGCGCCTGCCGGCTCCCTGGGGAAAGTGGGATCCTTCCACTTCCCAGGCCCTTGGGGGAACCCTCCTTTTATGCTCCTCGTCCTGCCCTGTGACTGTCCCCTGGACGGTCTCAGCCTCGTGCTGGTGTCTGGGGAAGTCACCGATCTCACTTCTTAACAAAGCAAGCCTGGGGCTTGGGGCCTCCAGCTGGCAACAGGATCTACATCTAGACTTTAATTGCAGTTTTGTTTTGCTATTTTTACTTTTATTAGAACCTTCTATTTATGGTAAACAGGCTGATTTTCCATATAGTATACTGTGGTGTATTCCTTTTGAATTAAAGGTATGGACTTCTAAGAAAGAGCATATCTATTTAAAGAAAATGAAGTAAACTACAGTACACTTACTAAACAGACAAGTCAAAAGTGCTCAGATGCTGCTGCGTGACAAAAGTTTGGGAAACACTGAGCAGGTTCATCAAGATGGACTATTTGAGGTTGACTAAGGAAACGAGAGCCTTTTAGAAATGCCACTTTAGCTCAGCCTTCCTCAGAATCAACCCGAAGGACACCTCTGGTCAATGCAGTGGGTTAGGACTTCTGTGTGCCAGGGTGTTCTGTGGGATATCTGAGAAGGTGCTGCTATGACCCCTATCTCATTGTCTGGGGCACAAGTGCTTTTTCCTCCTCCAGGTCATCTCTAGGGAGGAGGCAGTAGGCAGCCAGGAGGGCACCCCAGCCCCAGTCCTGTGAGTCTCTGGATGGAGTGGCTGACCCTTGGAGGCCAGAAGGAAGAGCCCAACTGATTGTCAGGAGCCAATTTTGGAGCAGGACTCAGCCATTTTTCCTGCTTTCAAGGCCTGAGAAATATGTGTCCACTCAGACCTCAGGCTTCTTTTCTAGGGCTTTTCCATCTAAGACCTTACCTGTTGTAGGAAACCTTATCCACCTAGTCTGACCATCCAGTCCGTAACAAGGGCATCCTGAGGGTTCTAGTGTTCTGCATTTCAGTTTACAAAGTGGGTTCCCAGTTTCCCCCGTGCATTTCATCGTCATGACACTCCTGGGAGTTATTTCCTTCGATATTACATGGGTGAGAACTGAGGATCTGGGAGGTGGAGAGACTTTCCCAGCTTACCTGGAAAGTGGCACAGCCGGGATTCTACTCCAGGAACAGTGCTCTCTGCCTCACCAACCAGGGCTACCTCTAAGTCCCTTTGGCATCTAAACGATCCTTCTTGCCCCTTCCCCCCAACACTTGGTGCAAGGCGTGATCAGGGGCTATTAAAGCGGACTTGTAGGTCTGAGCAATCTGTCTCCACTGGCCGGCTCCATGCCCAGGCAAAGGCCCCGCCCCACTGCTTTGGCCCCATCCCCTTGCCTGGACGCGACTTCCGACTTCCCAGACCCCTCCCCAGACCGGGGCCACATACCCTGAGCTTACAGGATTCCTCAGGCCGGCCCCACTCTTGTCCCAGGCACCCATCCTAGCCCTGCCCCCGAGCCCCCACCTGCAGCAGGGCCCACATTGTCTGAGCTCCCACAATCCTGAAATCCAGCTCCAAGGGGACACGGGGAGAACCCGGGGCCTCAGTGGGTGGGAGGGGTGTGAGTGAGGGTGAACCTGGGCACCCCCGGCCCTCTTGGCCTCACCTGGTTATCCTCCGCGCCTCCAGGTGGCTCGGGGAGTCTCTCCGGCGCTTCCGCATGGGCGAGTAGGACCGCCGTCTCCGACGCGCTCGCTCCCGCTCCCGCTGCTGCGACTCCTTCTCGTTGTACTTGGGGTCCCGCTCCCTGAAGGGATGGGGCAGGGATTATGGGGAGCTGGGGCTGGCTTTCCGGCATGAGCCAGGGGCACTCACTTCCTCTCACCTGTGCCCCGCATCCCACTTGGAAACGGCAAGTTTCCTCCCGGGGCCCCAGGGAATGCGGGAGGGAAGAGGACAGGGCTGTGGTTCAGTACTGTGGGGAGGGCAGACGTGTGCCTGGGGTGAGTCTTCGAGGGTGGGCATTACAGGGGTGCGGATGCTGCGGGGTGAGGATGTGAACGTCAAGAGGGCCCCGGTGTTACCCTTTTGGAGTAAAGAAAAAAAAAGAGGATGCATGCGTGAGATCTGGGCGCTCTGAGTATGGGGATGGAGAGTAGTACTAGGTGTGTGAAGAGGTTGAGGGCGGGGGTTGGGAATTCTGGGGTGGGCTGGCTGCACATTACGGGGGGGAGGTATATTAGGGCTCAAGGATATGTTTGGGGGCCCCAAACATATTCACTCCAGCGGAGACAGAAAACTACAAGGATGCTGGGTCGTCTCCCCACCCCTACGCCTGCAACACTGTAGGAACCCGCAGCAGGGGGCCGGGGAGGCGGGGCCTGTTTGGGGGCGGGGCCGTACCTGCTGGGGCTGTACCTCGAGTAGCTGGGGCTGCGGCGCGAGCGGGAGCTTCTGCCGGGTGGGCTCCTCTTGCCGGACTTGGAGGAGTAGCTGGAAGAGCGCGAGTAGGACCTTCGGGAGAGTAAACAGTCCCTGAGGGGCCTGCTGGGCTTAGCCAGGGTTGTCCCGGATGTGTAGGTCTATATTCAGCTGGTCCCTTGAGGGAGACCTTCTCTTTCTGGATGCCAGGCTGAGGAATCTGGCCCTTTCCTGAGAATGAAATTCCCTCTCTTTATGGGGATTAATAATAATTTGGACAACTTCTTTTTACTGAGTTCCTTCCATCTAAGGCCACTTATTAGCTGTGTTACCTTGAACAGGTGATTCCACTTCTTGGGCCTGGTTTTCTCATCTATAAAATGGGAGTAAATAATTGTACTTACCCTGTAGAGTTGTAAATGAGTAAATTAGGGTCAGTCACACACCTTCCATAGGCAGCACACAGGAAATGTTAGGTAAGTATTTTATTACGTGTCAGACACTGAACTAGCTTTGTGTGCATAACCTCACTGAATCCTCAACACATCCTAGCATTAGGTACTATTATCGATCCCATTCCACAGATGGGGAAAGCGAGGCACAGAGAGGGGAATGTTTTCACTGTGCAGATAAGGAAACTGAGGCTTGGAGAGGTTATCTGAGGCCCAGGGCCACCAGCTAGGAATGGGTGTAGCGGGCCTTCAAACTCAAGTCTGTACGACTCCTTTCCCCCAAGGGCCAAAGGACATCTCCAGTTCCCGTAACTAGTTCCCTAAGGAGGAAAGTGCTGCAGAATGAGGTCAAAATGGCACTCACCTTTTTCTGGATGAGGTGGACCGGCTTCGGGTGTACCTGGGGGAGGCCCTGGGGTTTGGGGATCGGGAGGAGTGGCTGGAAGAGCGGGTGCTGGCATAGGAGGGGCTGCGGGAGCACCCTCTCATGGGGGAGCTCCGGGCTGTAGATGGGACCAGGCTGGACTTTTTCACCTCTGCACACTCCAGACACGGCGACTGAAATCTTCTGCAGATATGGGGAGAACGCCAGTTAGCAATGGCCTGCCTGCTTGTCTGGAGGCATCTGGAGCTGATACTCTTCTCCCTACCTTCGCCAAGGCTGTGGTACTCTCAGAAACCCCTTTCCACCTGCTCCCATCTTACTGCCTCTGGGAACATTCCAGGCCACAGGTGTCAGAGGAATAGGGACAGAGGGGAACGCATCCTACGGGGGGCACTTCACAGCATTTTAGGTCAGTGGGTGTAGGCATAATGGTAAATTACACCAAATCACATAGAGACTTACTCCCTTTGAGTCTTTTCTGGTCCTTCTGATTAATGAAAAACCCCTGGTTGGGTACTACTGCGTTTCCACCATCTCTGTAACATGGGCAATCTCCCAGACTTGGCACCTTGGGAAGGCAGCTGTTGCTAACCAGAATTAAATACACTGTCTTTATGTATTTTCATATGTAAATCATGTATTTTGCAGGTGCTTTCTATTTAGGATGAGTTTTAATATAAATTTCCTTATATTAAAAAATGAGTTTATTAAAGGAAGGGCACCAGTAGTACAGGGATAGGGCTAAAATCAAGAAAGGGCCATACAGGTGGTTTAAATTTGGGAAACTCTGATGTAGCCCATTTTGCAGATGGGGGAATTGAGACTCAGAAGAGTGAAGGCTTGCTCAAAATCACCCAAAGACAGGTTCCGGTCTTCTGTGTTCCCCCCTGCCTGGGGCCATGCAAAGCTTCTATTGGGTTCTCAGTAAGGGCACGTTCCTTTGGTTTGGGCCAGATCACGTTTATATGGTGTGCAGGGGCTCATGACGATCTGGCCCCTGCACACCCCTCTAATCTCAGCTCTTGGCATTTTCCTTTTTTGACACCAGTCATAATGGACTACTTGTTCTTCCTGGAATATCCCTGTTCCTTCCCTGTCTCCAGGCCTTAGAACGTTCCCACTGGCTGGAACCCTCTTCCCTCCCCTCCCCTCCTCACCTGACAGTAACTACTCATGCTTCAGGCTTTAGTTTGACCTCACCTTTTCTGGGAGGCCTTCCTTGACATGTCCCTGAATCTAGCTGGGTGACCCTCACTGTGTTACCACAGCCCCCAGCCTCTATGCATCCCCTGTCCCTAGAAGGACTCACTTGGTCTTACAGTTGCCTCTTCCTCCCCCAGTCACTGAACTACTTGGGGGAGAGGACTCATGTCTCTGGATACTCTATCCCAGCACCTCAGACAGAGCCCGATACATCTGTCCTAGGTAATGAAAACATAGCTCTGAAATAAACCTTTGAGGCTCTTAGTTTCCTGGGGGCTTCACAAGCATCGTCTTGTATGGTCCTCCCACCAATACTTAGGAGACTGGCACCATTCTCCTCAATTTACAGGGAAGACACAGAACCGTTAGTTACTTCAAGGCCACCCAGAGTCTCAAACCCTGATCTGTCCCGCTTCAAAGCCCATGCCCCTGTCACCCCACCAGTCCCCCACCTTCACTGTCGAAGTTTCCCTGGATTTAGAGCTGATGGTGTCTCTGCCATTCAGCCCTCTGCTCACTGCTGACATGACATAAATAGTCATGAATTTAGAGATCATTTATATTTCAAAATGAAAGGCTGGGTCTAAATGATTTAATCTGGCTGTCCGTAGAGATCAGATGAAGCAGGGAACCGCCAAATGCCACTCAGGCTGTAGCTTCAGTGCCGTGACAGGTCTGTGTCTGAATCCTGGCGTTGGCCCTTCTGATCCTGAGGGTGGTGTGTTTTTTTGTTTGCTTGTTTTTGTTTTTTTAAGATTTTATTTATTCAACAGAGAGAGAGATGCGGTGAGAGAGGGAACACAAGCAGGGGGAATGGGAGAGGGAGAAGCGGGCCTCCCGCTGAGCAGAGAGCCCAATGTGGAGCTCGATCCCAGAACCCTGGGATCATGACCCGAGCTGAAGGCAGACACTCAACAACTGAGCCACCCAGGCACCCCTGATCCTGAGTTTCTTAACTACTCTGAGTCTCAGTTTCCCCACCAGCTACAGAGAGGTCTCTGGTAATACTTACCATAAAGGTTCTATGAGGATTAAGGAAGGCATGGCACCTAGCCTATAGTCAGGGCTCGGCACATACCAGCAGGCATTATTATCATCAGTTGTTATTACTGTTGCTTTCCTGGCTCTTTTTGTTGTTTTTGTCATTTTCTGCCCTAGAGAATGTACGTAGACACCTGTCTTCCCTGTCTCATCTGGGAATATCACTGCCTGTTCTGGGAGACGCTGACATTTGCTCTGACCCAGCCCTGGGCTCCCAGGCAGGCTTGGGTGTGAACCAAGGCCGGGCACGTGCCAGGGCAGGCAAACCAGAGGCTCCGTGTGGATGCCAGGCTGTTTGTCCAGAACTGAAATGGGCTATGTGTTGGGGACAAAGGGCGCTCTGTCCTTGAAGAAGCCATTAACTGTTTCTCTGCTAAGGCTTTGCTTATCATTCTGACATTGTGGCCACTTTGGAAAAAGCAGACTCCCACCCCCAAAAAGAAAGAAGACCCCACTGTTAGCACAGTGGAAGGCACCAGCAAATCTCTTCCACCCTCCACGCACGCCCCGCCCCACCCCCTGCATCTGCCTCCTTATATGCTCCTCAGGAAAAGGACGGTGCCATTTTCATTTCTCCAGCACCAGGCTGAGTGGTTGGCTTCTAGGAGGTGCCTGATAACCAGGGGAGGGACAAGTAGCCGAATGAATGATCGGAATCAATGATCAGTGATTTCTACTTGCTGTAATTGTGACATTATCCTCAGCGCTTAGCATTTTGCTGTGATTCTTTGAATGAGAGGGTAAGGGGGTAATGAAGGAGAGTTTACAACTGGCTCGTCAGCCACTGCATGGAAGGTTCTCTGCAGGAAAACTGCATCCGACCAGTGGGTGAAGATACACGCGCGCACACACACGCACATGCTGCAGTGTATGGGAACCCTCTGTCCTCCTCTGTCCTACTCTCCACATCTCACATGAGAGGGAAACGTTTGTTACCATCAGTGACACATCACTGCCCAGGAGTCCGTGGTTTCCATTAGCCACTCATTCCTCTGAGCCCAGTGGGTTTTGACATATGGAAACTACGTACCCACCCTCGCAGCGTCCTCCTCAATCCCCTCTACCCACTGCCCTCTCTGCGTCTCTCTACCCGCGAATCTGCTTGCTGTCTCCTTAGTTCTGCCTTTTCCACAATGTCACAGAGTTGGACTCGTACCGTATGTAGCCTTCAGGCTGGTTTCTTTCACTCATTTAAATTTCAGCCATGTCTTTTCATGGCTCGACGGCTCATTTCTTTTTAGTGCTGAATAGTATTCCCCTCTTCTACGTGTACTGCAGTTTATTCACCTGCTGAAGGATGTCGGAGGTGGTTCTAAGTCTGGGCAATTATGAACAAAGCTGCTGCAAACATCCAGGAGCAGGCTTTTGTGTGGACACAAGGTTTCAATGCATTTGAATGTTTTTATATGACAGCAACTTTAAAGGAATTCAATGTTACGACTTTCTCCTGAGATTACTGGTAAAACGGGCATTTGTTTTTGCCTGCCCATCTCCGTCCTTCCTGATATCAGTACCCTGACTTTTCCTTCAGAGAACCGGACTTCCCCCCAAGTTTTGTGTACGCAGGAAGGCTACTCATAAACCTTGAGTAGCGTGTGACAAATTGTTGCCAAGAGCACAACATCTCCTGGGCCACAGTGATTGGCCCAAGGGTGGGCAAATGACCCCAGATGGGCCAAGAATAAACCACGAGACTCCACCCTGGTATTTTGCTGCAATTTTGGGGAAAGGGGCATCCTCCTTCCACTGGCTGACTGAACGGATAGAAAGGTTAGCATGTGTGAATGCTGTTGGCCTATGTGCTCATGTTTTGGGAGGGTCTGCTTGAGAATGAAGCCAATAGAGAGGGAAGCAGAGATAGGAGATGGAATGGAGAAGGCAGATTCTCAATGATGTATTTTTGAGCCTGGATCCAGCTGTACCTAAAGCTGACACCCTTGGATTTTTTTTTTAATCCCCCAAATTATGCCACTTTGGGTTTTCTCTCTCTTGTAAATCAAAGCCTCCTGGGTTCCAGGTGGGAAGTGGGTGGGTACAGGGCTAAGGTGAGAGACTAAGATGGTAGAGCTAAGACAGCCCCCCCCCCACCTCCTCTAGCCCAGGTACACTGACCTTGACTCTCTGCCCCTGCTGGTGGGGGAGAGATTCTCCAAAGTGGCACCCTTGTTCTGGGGTGAGGAGGTGGTGAAGGAGTTCCCTGAATCCGAGGTGTTGCCACAGTGGAGCTCCTGGCTCTTGGTGAGGCCCCCACTGGGGCTCCCCTTCTCTTGACCTCGGGACCTGGCTGAGCTGATTTGCGTGGAGGGCGGTGAAGAAGTGTCATTGCCTGAGTCATACTCCTGGGAGCGTCCTCGGGAGGTGGTGAGCGGGCTGGCTGTTTTGGTAAAGAGGTCAGCTGCAGACCCCGACCCAGTGATCTGAAAGCAAAAACACCCGTTGGACACTGCTGATTGCTGGGTCTGTGCTGTGTGTCTAAATAACCAAGAAATGTTTACCGTCATGATGCACTGTAACGAAAGGAAAGAGAGAGAGAGAGAGAGAGAAGAGGAAAGAGAGACGCCAAAAAAAAAAAAAAACAAAAGCACAAATTCCTGAAAGAATTCCACAGAAAGGAGATATTTTTTTTTTACCCCCTGCTAGAATAACTGGAAGATTTAGGTATCATGCAGAGAAAAAGCATGCGATCCAGATTAAACCAAAGAAAAAGGAAATTATACAAAATTTAATTTCTAATGAGTCAACTCAAACAAAAGTGACAACTTAATCGAAAGGGGGGTGTGTCACACCCTTAACCTAAAACAATAATAAAAATAAAGGAAGGGGGAGGGGAAAAGAAATGGGACAATGGGCATGAAAAACATGTATCTTTTAACTTAAAAAAAAAGAGAGATAAAGCCAAAATTTTAAGCTTCAACCAAATCCTCAACGAATTTGACTTTTTTTTTTTTTTTTAAAGAAAAAGTTCCCTGAATAGAACCCTAAACAAATATCGCATGGGGAAAAGAAATGAAATAAAGAGAGTTTTTTTTTTTTAAATATAAAGTCAAGGTCACAAAATGACATTTTAGTAGTTTTCAACTAAAGGGGAAAAGAAAGGGGGACAAAAAAAAATGGAAGTCAAATCGTCTGACTGAAAACAAACGAAAAAAAAGCTCTCTATGGATATTTGTGTGTGTCCTTTTCCCCCTGGAGAAGGTAGCTAAGGCTCTCGAGTGGCTTCTAATAAATTCTCTCATGTCTTTGCGGATTATATCCACTTACCAAGCAAGAGCTCCTCCTTTAGTAGGTAGGTAAGGTGTAAGAGAAAGGGAAGAGCGGGCAACGTGAGTCCATCATTAGAGTCGAAAATGACAAGAAAAAACACACACCTTTCCGCACACCCTCACACTTGGCCCTGAGCTTTGAGTTTTGGTTTTTCAGTGTTCCTACCAGGCGAGGCATCAGTTCTGTTTGGTTTTCTCAGCAAGGGGACCTCAAGCCATCAACACTAACCTCGTGAGTCCCTTGGTGCCCGAGTTGGATCAAGGAACCCTGGCTGAAAATGCGGTGGGGGCTAGAGCTCGCCTCCCTGGAGGTGTCAAGATCGCGAGGATGTGCTTGGGACAGAGGGCGTGGGGAGGGGCTGGGACATCTGGGGCGAGTGGGAATGGGGAGGTCTGATCTGGGACAGATGTAGGAGGAACGGAAGGTGAGCAAGCCCTTGGGAAGGCAGTGGTGTATTCAGAAGCACGATGGATGGTTCTCTTTAAACATTCAGAGCAGTGTCACGGCTGTGAGGTCACCGTGGTCCCTGCCAACAGTACTGTGCTTATTTAGCCACGGGCAAGAGGGATTCCTGCCCTGGGCCTCCTCCGGCGATAACCATCCTCATGCGGCAAGAAATCTGTGGGGCCCGGAGGACGCTGCCTGGAAACCACTTTCCCTGAGACCACCTTATGGGTCTCTGAGATCCCAGAGTTCTCTGTTTAAATGGCCTCTGAGCCCCCTTCCAGGGTCTCTGCCGGCTCATCCGTGGATCTGTGCTCCTGGGGACACACCAGGCTTCAGGTGTGCACACTCTCAGGTCCAAGGGTGGCCATGAGGACCCAGCTTCGATGTTCAGGCTGAGGCATCCACGTGCACGTGTGGGAGGCCCATGGTGTTGGTTGGTGCAAGTGGTAAGAGGAGAAAGAGAGGGGCTGTGGCCTTGAGGAAGGGTCCCCCCTCCAACCCAACCACCACCACACTGCCATGATGTGGCTGTCTGCTCCGAGGGATGTGAGATTCTAAAATCAAACCTGACTTTCCAGATCATTTTCAAGGTGTCTTTGCCAAGACAGGAGAACATACCATGTTTAGGTTTGCTGGCTTGATTTATAAACATTGAGACGTATCTTCTCTACTCTTGCCCTGGGCCCCGTGCATGTTAGTGAGGTCTCACCATCAAAAGTCTGCTTCCTTACCCCCCCTTATCCCTTGTACCTTGGGCATAAATGAGTGGGACTCTGGGGCCTTCCTAAGGAACCATTTCTGCCTTCGTAGCAATTGGTCATGAGGGCAAGACACAGCGACACCAGAGCTACGAGGAAAACAGCAAACTCTGGCAGCTCAGGATGTCAGCTTCCAGACCGGGGAGGTGGAATGTCCTTTGTGGATTCTCCCAGGAGGCTCTGCACACGGACAAGTTGATGGTCCAGCTTTACCAAGTTCTACTCAGCACGCAGCCACTTCCTCTGCCTGGTGACCTGGCAAGCTTTGCTTTGGGACAAGGGACCTCAAAAGAAGATTCCTCAGGTGGAGTCTTTTTGAGTGAGACTTCTTTAAAAACAATGCAAAGACCCTGTTTCCATTCAGCTCCTCCTTTTTGTCTTCCCATCTGCAGTATGGATGCGGTATCTTCCCCCACTCTGGGAGTCCAGTGGCAACATGTGTATTTCTACCACCTCTGTCAGGAACAAGAAAGCATCACAGGGTCTGATGGGCTCTCGGACTGGGCCTTGGCCCAGGGATGAGCACAGACAATCTTTGCTCCGGGGATGGTGAAGGTTTGGTGGCCGGTGTATCACAAATGAATCAGGCAAGCCCTTTTTGGAGGGAGCCAGGCTGGAAGATCAGTCTAACGAAGGGGCCTGTGGGTGTAACGGCTTCCGTTATCCATCCATAACCGACTCGCTACTTGGCAGCATCCAGGGTGGCCTTCCAGCCCTAACTTGTTCCCAGCCCTGACTACCGATTTCAAAGCATTTGCCCCAGTGCGTCATGGGTCCCCATGGGCAAGGATTTCATGAGTGTGAGGCCCTTCCAGGCTAGTAGATACAGAGGGAACTTTGCCCTGTTTGCCCTCTCATCCCTACAGCCTGAGATCACAGACACACTTTCAGCACGCCTCGCCTTGACTGTGACCATTATCCACATGTAACTTGTATAATTAGAACTGAGAGTTGTACCAAGCTTTTCCATCCTTTCCAGAAAACAGAGATAAAGGTCCTCTGAAATGTTCTCATTGGGTTGAACCTCATGCCTAAAAATACCAACATCTCCTGCTTATTTAGAACTCCCATTTCTTTGGATGAATATAAATTCCTCAACATGGTTGACAATATCCTTTACAGTCCAACCCAGAGTATCTGACAGGTCTCCTCTCTTCCACATACCCCCACTGTGGCCCCATAACCTAAGCTGATAACTTGGAATTTTCTTGGTTCTGCTGCCACATCTCGCTCTCCCAACCCCAGGCCATTTGCACATGCCATTTCCTCTGCCTAGAACATTCTTCCCCATTACTCTATTTCATATGGCTAAATTTATACATCCTCCAGGTTACATATCACGTCCTCTAGAAAGCCTTCTCTAATCCCCCAGGTCAGGATGGCACAACACTCCACCACTCACTCATTCATTCATTCGATTTTTTATTCATTTACTCTTTCAAAAATGAATGGCTTCTGGGGTGCCTGGGTGGCTCAGTGAGTTAAGCCTCTGCCTTTGGCTCAGGTCATGATCTCAGGATCCTGGGATTGAGCCCCACATTGGGCTCTCTGCTCAGCAGGAAGCCTGCTTCTCCCTTTCCCACTCCCCCTGCTTGTGTTCCTTCTCTCACTGTGTCTGTCAAATAAATAAAATATTTAAAAAAAAAAGAAATTAAAGTTTAAAAAAAAGAAAGAAAGAGTGGCTTCTATGTGCCACAGTACTGTTACTCAGTGGGCTAATTGCTTGTTTTACTGCCTATCTCTCCATCTGAATGGGAATTTGTAGAAGGCAGAGGCCACACATGACCAGTTCAGTACTGTACCCAAGTAACCAGCAGTGCCTGGCACAGAGTAAGTGCTCACTAAATCTGGCTACATGAACACAGCCTGAGCTGGGAAGCCTGGGCCCATCCTAGCTTGATTCAGTGGTGAAGATGGCTGAGTGGCTACATCCTGGTGAGGCCCAGCCAGGTAACTGCCAACTTTGGGAATTTGATAGGTTTTGAAGGAGGGACTGGCCCCCATCATATTCAAAATAGTTCTAAAAAACTAGGTGGATTCTTGGCTGAAGGCTACTGTCTCAAGACCAGCTCAGGGCTGTCTGTGTGATCAAGAGATAACCTTTAGAACTGAGTTCCAGGCCTGTGGCAGAGAGAAGGAATACAGTCTGTTCTTCCTCTCCTTCCCGGCCCACCTCAGACCCAGCATCCTCAGAGAAAGCACCCAGAGGCTGTTTCTATACATTCTCGACAGCTTAAGTTCCAGGCTGAGCTGAGAAGCTCCAGATCTGAGAAGACTTCCAGATGAGACAGGCTATGCTTGGTCTCCTTACTTTCCTTCCACCCTCTACTACCCTGGGAGGTCAGCTTAAAAAATAGGCTGGGGCTGGCCATTTATTTGCACACAACAGGGCCGTTAGCCTGTACTTCGTTCAGATTATAAAAAGGTGCTCCTTCTAGGTCAGGAGCGAGAAAAAGATGCTCCCTCTGGCCAGACAAATCTAGATAGTTGATGGCCTTTTCGTTTCAGACTCCATCTTCTCCAGAGCAAAGGGGAGGAAAGGTATTGAGGGGAGCCAGAGATCGAATGCGTGTGTGTGTTTGCGTGAGTGTGTGAGTATGTGTGAGTGTGTGAGTATGTGTGTGCGTGTGTGTGCGTTGGGGGTGTGTGACAGCCATGATAATGCAAAGGAGACCTTCATGATAGGCAGACAACAGAGGCCTCTGTGTTTTTGTCCTTTCTAGACAAGTACTCACTCACTCACTAACATACCAACAGTTGTCCACTCAGTGACATGACAATGTGGCTCCTACTTGCTCCTCATTTAGATTAACAGCCCTCTCAAAATTCATCTTTCAAGAATTCTTCATCTGCTGGGAATTTCTCTTCTAACCATTAACTGACCTTTGCCCCTGTCCTCCTAGCTAGGCTGAAAACAGTGCTCAAGATACTTGATAGGAGGAGTCATT